ATTTTCCCATGTCACACCCGTCAATACATCTCGGATCGCTTCGATGGTAGGGCCGGGCACTGTGGCGGTTTGAGCCGACGTTCCGTTGGCAAATGCAGTTGTTGCAGGTAAATCGCGGTGAAATTTCTGTTCATGGATAGAAAATCAAAGTTAGGTGAACTTCAATAAAGAAAGCACAAGAATAATACATTGGAAGGCCTTAACTTTAGTCTGTTAATTTGGTTTTGTCAGTTAAACATGAACCTAATTAGAAATAATCTCTCTATTCTTCTTATTTACTAGTAGGAAATGTGTCTTGTCCATGTGTGGCGTCCACATTTGAGACCAGATGAAATTGAATTGTGTTAAGTGTGGAACACTTTCTCCGTGAAAGTCAAGAAAGTTGCCCCATTTTGCAAGTGGAAAAATGTCATGAGATTAAACAAATGATCGGATTGATACACGCTTATTCAGATGTTGAAAGGAATAGAAACTTAGTACGTACCCATCTGGTCTCGTACATGCCGGTAGTGAGACCACCGGGTTCAGGCGAACCGATGTCGAGGGTGTACCCTAAGAGCTTGGGCATCTGAGGGAGCTTGTCCACGTACATTTGGAGAGAAGCGGCCACTTGATGCAGAATTGCCTCCGTCACCGGCGGCGGCTGTTGGGCCATCAACATGCCACAACCACCCTTTCAAAATCACGAATTACAGTTATAATCTTGATCAGGATATGAATTTTTTGCATCGTGTGCTACTGATGTTCATGAAAGTAAATAAGAACAATATATCCAGCGTGTTCACTGAACAAGGTGATCTTACGAACTCGATGACAACCCCAAGATCATGTTAGGGAAAGTGGGTACCAAGGTGAAAGAGGGGATAATAATCATGTGTACTAACCTTAATATGTACGAAGAAGAGATAAATTCAATGGACGATATTAGGGTTTAGATAGGAGAAGAGAGTGTGCTGAGCACAAGGCTAATGGAGGTGATGACTTACGACGAGGATGAGTTGGAGGACATCGAGCTCAATCTATAAATACTAAAACTGGCAAGAATAGTTTATATTTTAAACATTTGTTCATCTACTGGTATGGACATGAAAGAAAGCAAGATCGAAGACAAGGAGAGATGGCTTTGGGAGAAAATTCAGTGTATATTTTCTCTGTAATTCTCAATACACGATGTACAAATTTATAATACAATGCATAAATGAATAAAGGAAATAAAATATTTTACAAATCAAATACAATCCCACTTGATCTTTGCATATCATTCCAAACGATATCGCATATCAATCCAAACGATATCGCATACCTTCCAACACTCCCCCTCAAGCTGGTGGCTTGTAGATGTCCAAGACACTTAGCTTGCTCAGTAGATATGCATGCTGTTTCTGACAGAGGGGTTTGGTGAAAACATCCACGGGTTGTTCTGCAGTCCCTATCCCTCTTGTTTCAATTACCCCTTCTTGAATCTTCTCTCGTGTGAAGTGACAATCTACTTCTATGTGTTTCGTTCTCTCATGCACCATAGGATTAGCCGCAAGCTTGAGAGCGGCATCATTGTCACAAAATAGTCTGGTTGGGCCCTTAATTTGTACCCCAAGATCTTGCAGTAAGCCTCGCAGCCATACTATCTCGCAAGTAGTTTTCACCATTGCCCGATATTCTGCTTCTGCTAAAGACAGTGAGATAGTGTGCTGTTTTTTTGTCTTCCGTGAGAGCAACGAGTCTCCTAGCTTAATGCAAAAACCTGTGACAGATCTTATGCTCATTGGACAGGTTGCATAATCTGCATCACAATAAGCCGTCATTTCCATGTTGCACTTTCTAGAAAGAAGTATTCCAAGTCCTGGGCATTTTTTTAAATACTTGACAATCTTCAGTGCAGCATCATGTGAGACTGTTTTGGTTTGTGCATAAATTGGTTGAGCGTCTGTACCGCATAACATATGTCTGGCCTGGTCATGGTCAAGTATATGAGCTTCCCAACAAGTTTCTGATAGCCTGTTGGATCTTTGAGTATGGGATCATCTTCTTGAGAAGATCCCTCATCATATTCCGCCGTGGTCAGCTTGATATTTTGTTCGATCGGAACAACGGCTGGCTTGCATCCTGATAGACCTGCTTCTGATATAATTTCCAACACAAATTTCCGTTGACTGAGGGAAATTCCTTGATCGGATCGGGCAATTTCAGTTCCCAGAAAGTACTTGGGTGATCCCAGGTCTTTTATATGGAATGTGGAATGCAGATACTGCTTGAAACTCTTTATGGCATTTTCATCATTACCCATAATAAGTATATCATCAATATATATCATTAAATAAATGGATGACATACCTTTTGTCCACGTAAAAAGGGCATAGTCAAAACAGGATTGCTTGAATCCTGCAGCGATGAGTGCATTCGCAAATTTGGTATACCATTGCCGGGAAGCTTGTTTAAGACCATATAGGGATTTACAGAGACGACATACTTTATCCTTCCCCTATCTCCGAAATCCCTGAGGAACCTCCATATAAATCTCCTCATCCAAATCACCATGAAGGAAAGCATTATGGACATCCATTTGGTGTAAAGTCCAGTTTTGGAATGCCGCAACCGACATGAAAGATCGGATAGTGACGTCTTTGGCTACTGGGGAGAATGTTTCGTGGTAATCAAAACCTTCCCGTTGTGTAAAACCCTTAGCTACCAAACGAGCCTTGTACAGTTCAATGGATCCGTCTGATCGATACTTGATCTTGTACACCCATTTGCACCCAATCGGCTTCCAATGAGGGGGCAGTGGCACAAGTTCCCATGTGTTATTCTCAATCAAGGCTTGCAACTTAGTTGCCATAGCCTTTTGCCATCGTGGATCAGTGGAGGCTTCATCATAGTTGGAAGGTTCCCGATCTTCAGATATTCGGCTAATACAACATCTATGTTTCGAATTGAATGAAACATAAGCTGAGATGGGATATCGAATACGTGGTGAATTGTGAGTAGCATAGACATAGTCTTTAGTCCACGTGGGTGGACGTGTGATTCTCCCAGAACGTCGTGGAGGGTCTCTTGGAGGTGAGGGTGAAGTTTCCTCCATAACAGGTGATAATGCTTCGGCATATGGAAGATCTTTAGTGGTCGCATCGTCTTCCACTGGTTCCAATGATGATGGAGAAGCATCGTCAGCATGAATTATGTCAGGTATTGGAGAACCTTGAATGGTCGGAACATAGGTGGGATCCCTTAAACCTTCTTCTTCAGTGAAAAAAATACGAGGAGCATTTTTTACCCCTACATCTTCCTTGGAGGAGTCACCTTCAAAAGGAAAGGTGTTTTCGTGAAATACGATATCCCTGCTTACGAAAAATTCTCCTGTGAATGTGTCAAAAAGACGATAACCCTTTTGTAGATTCGGGTATCCCATGAATATACATCGCCGAGCACGGGGACCAATCTTGTCCCGAGGGGCTGTAGAAGTGGCGTAACATAAGCATCAAAAAATTCGCAAATGGTCCAGATCTAGCCTTTTTTTTAAATAGGAGCTAGAATGGCGATTGTTTGTTGAGTGCCTTCGATGGCATCCGATTAATCTAGTAGGCCGCCGTTATCACGCAATCTCCCCAAAAGGTTTATGGGATAGAAGCTTGAAACTTTAACGCCCGTGCTACCTCCAAGAGATGGCGGTGTTTTCTCTCAACCACCCCATTTTGTTGCGGGGTATAAATACATGAGCTTTCATGTAAAATTCCATGAGATGAGAAAAAATTGTCGCACTCACGGTTGAAGAATTCCCTTCCATTATCTGTTCGGATGCGTCGAATAGATTTTCCGAATTGTGTCTTTGATAAGGAAATGAATGTCTTCAAGTTATGGAAAACTTGAGCTTTAGACTGCATAAGGAAAACCCGTGTAGCTCTGGAATAATCATCCACAATGGTAAGAAAGAACCGAGATCCATCATGGTTCGGTGTGTGATATGGCCCCCACACATCAATGTGAATTAAAGAAAAAATATAGGTAACATGACTCTTGCTAAGAGAAAAAGGTATACGAGATTGTTTTGCAAGTGGGCAAATATGACACTGAGAATAAGGAAATAAGGCACTATGTCCCATTCTAGAATGCATAAGGACATTTTTATCATTGGCAGTCGAATTACACAATAATTGTTTATTGAAAGGAATGCATGATAAATCGAAATTTCTGGGAAAACTGATCCAAAAATATAATCCTTAAGAGAGATTACCCAAGCCCATCAGTCTGCCAGTCGAAAGGGCCTGAAAGAAACAAGTATCAGAATCGAAAAAAATTCGACAGGAATTTTCTTCACATGCTTTAGACACAGATATGAGGTTGAACGAAGTTTGGAACATAAAGGACATTTCTGAGTGTGATTTGAGAACTAAGATTTACTATCCCTGTCGTAGTGACATGAGTAACATTCCCATTCGGCAATTTCATAGAGATAGGAATACTTAATTTTTTATGAATAGTGGAGAATAATCCCTTATCACAAATAATATGATCACTTGCCCCTGAGTCAATTATCCAAGCATTTCTGGAAATAGAATTTATCAGGCAATGAGTAATACCTGAAAAACTACTTCCCTTGTTGGAAGTGTCTAATTTTTGTAATGCCTGCATAATTTGTTGATATTGTCCATATGTGATGGGCTGATAATTATTTGGACCAGTGACTTGATAAGCCGCAGCCAAGGATTCTTTTCCTTTCTTTCCTTTTTCCCCGGGTTTACCATGCAATTTCCAGCAGTTGTCGATTGTGTGATGGGGTCGCCTGCAATATTCACAAAATTTTTTTCCTTTTAAATTCTGCCCGAAAGATTTTTGTGCACCCGAAAAGCTTGGACCGTTGGATGTCTTTGGATGGGTTTGATGCCCACCGTCCGATTCCTTAATGGAATCGGTGCCTTTCCAGCCATCAGATTCCAAGCCGCGATCTCCACCGTCCATCCCATTTCCTTTAATCTGCTGCAGATCATTGCCCACAAACCCTCGCCGCTCCTTATCTCGGTCTAGGGTTCTGGAACTCGATTCGCGACGCTCGCCGCGAGTCGCGAGGGTGATGCTTTCTGCTCCCCTTGCATGCTCTGGCGAGGCGAGTCGTTGGCTCTCTTCCTGTACCGATAGTTGAAAGATGCGTTCGAGCAGTGGCACCGGGTCCATGGCGAGGATCTGCGATCTAAAGGTGAGATAGGATTCATTCAAAATCAAGAGAAATCGTGTGACTTTCTCCCTGTCTTTTATCGCCCTATACTGTTGTAGCGTGGTTTCGGGCCCCTCGAGCTTTTCTTCGACTGATTCTAGCTCATTCCAGAGGGCCGACAGCTTGTTGAAGCAAGTGGTTATGCTCATATTCCCTTGCTTTAGCTCTGAAAGCTCCTGGGTGAGAGAAAAAAATCCTCGCACGGTCCAATTTCCCGTACATTTCTCGTATATTATCCCACATCTTCTTTGCATCTTTTGTGGGGGGAAGTCCGACGACTATTTCTGGGCTAATACAGTTCCTGATCCATGTTCTAACGAGCTGGTTGCATTTTCTCCATTGTCTTGCCATTCTCTCGTCAGTCGGGATCGGAACAGATCCGTCTATGAAACCGTCTTTGTCCTTCGTCACCAGAGCTCGTCGGAATTCTTGTGCCCAGATCGAGTAGTTTCCAGATCCCGTGAGATGGTGGCTAATGAGCCGCAACTCCGGTCCATCGACGGTGGAGACGTAGAGAACGTCGCCGGGCTCTGGTCGGCCAGTGACGGATGCCATTGGATACGGCAAGTAACCGGGTGGCAGAACCGGGTAGGGATTTTGACCCAAACCTGGATTCCCTGACCCGCTTGATACCCCCGCATTGATCGTTCCAGATCCTTCAGTTTGGCCTGCTCCGCTTGCGGCTAGTGGGCCGCTGTTGGGCTGGGCATTTTCTTGGCTCGCCCCAGGCAATGATGCATTTGGGTTTGGCCCAAGGTACCATGGATTCGATATCCATTGGAAAGGCTGGCCCCCAATTGGATGGCCCACGATGGGCGAGCCCGATAGGAGCTGCCCTGTATTTGTCTGAGCCTGATAGGGTTGCCAAAAAAAGGGCTGGGCCTGGCCTCCGGAAAACACAGTCTGTGGATCCAGAGTCTGTGGAATTTGTGGGTTAACTTCCTTCGAGGCATGTTGATCCGTAACATTCTCCGAGGCATGTTGATCCGTAACATCTTCTGGGGAAGACGGATCTGAAGATGATGGTTGTTTCTGATTCATGATGAGGGTAAGTGTGTAGCCTTTAGCCTTTCTTCGTCTGCTTAAAATCTGATTCCTTCGCCGGAAGGGTACCTTGTTTTTTCAGGTCCAAATTCTCGGCAGGCAATCGTTGAGGACTTCCGGAAGCTAAGTCAGGAGCGAAGCTGCTCTGATACCATGAAAGAAAGCAAGATCGAAGACAAGGAGAGATGGCTTTGGGAGAAAATTCAGTGTATATTTTCTCTGTATTGCTCAATACACGATGTACAAATTTATAATACAATGCATAAATGAATAAAGGAAATAAAATATTTTACAAATCAAATACAATCCCACTCGATCTTTGCATATCATTCCAAACGATATCGCATATCAATCCAAATGATATCGCATATCTTCCAACATGACATAATAAACGATCTGACCCATTCCAAAACACGTATGGCCCATCTCATACATTAGTTTATATTTATTTTCCGTGGGAATCTCGTGGAAGTTATGTCCATCCATTAAATATTAGCACAATAAGAACGAATCATAGATAACCTAACTTAATGGGGAAAAAAAACAAGAAAAAACTCATAAGCAACTTAATGCATGGGAAAGATTGTTTTCTGCAAATTGTGACATGATGGTCCGCAAGATCCAGATAACTAACTAGAGTCCTCTACGAAAAAAAATGAATCTAAATAAGTTGAATAAAAAAGAGAAGGATATACATAATCTGTGATGATGAATGAACGAGGTGCGTTTGCGAGGAGTGTTTCCAAGGTTTTTTGGGCCTCTAAATGCCCTTCTGCCAAAGTTGAGGTGTTTGGTAACAAAATCCCAAAGGCGACAAAGTTGAGCATCTTCAAAGTTCTTTAACTCAATGCAATTCCCACTCAACATTGGCTTTCGGCATTTTCAAAATGCTACTTCAGGGTTAATAAATTCACAAAGGAGGTCAGGGACGTCAGTTGAGGGTCACAAGACGTCTGTCGAGGTCTCGCATGACGCCGACTAACGCCAGTTTTGGTCTGGTTTTTTGGGTCTCACTTGGCTCGCCTTCTCAAGGTCTCTGTTTTGGTTTTTTCCAAATCTAGGCCGCTGACCATTGTGCAACGCCGGCCGAGGGTTGCGCGCCGCTTGTGCTCAATTTCAATCCCTAGTCGATGGCGTTGAGTAAGCCCTAGTTGAGGCAGCCGAGTTCGAGATTCGAGGCTCATCGTCCTCGTTAACGGTGACAGAGACGCGTTGCAGAGCTAAGATCGAGACGGAGCAGAGGCGAAGAAAGATGACGGGCGCAGAGATAGAGAGATCGATCTATTGTCAGGTGGAGACATAGAGTCTGGGGAAGAGAGGGCGACAATGTACTAGGCCAACGGAGGGGGCGGCAGGGCTGTCCTCGACACGATATGTTGGAATGAAACCATGTTTTCTTCTTCCAGCTTATAGGAAGGGGAAAAAGCAATGCAAAGAACCAAACATGAGTTTGCTTGAATCAGGGCTACTACACCCATATTTACTATACCAAACACCATTTCATTTTCCCAAAGCTTTCTCAAACTCAGACGGAGCTGTCGACTTATGGGCAAGATGACATGCAATTTCTTGACAGCAAGGGGTTGCCTCTCTTTGCGCCAATTGTGGAAAAATAGAAGCTAGTAATGTCAGCTGTGGCTTTCATATTTGGAAAATCAGAGAAAGCTATTAGTATTTTTCAAGCACCCTAGTTGACCAAAAGAGTTTTCCAATGGGAGCTCCAATGGGAATAAAAAAGGAAGGGTTTGAAAAATTCTGAAAATTTAGTTTTCAATCACCCTTAAGTTGTTATGGGGATTATGGGCATGAGTCCATGCCTAACGAGCAAGTACTGCATATATTAAATATATCAAATCAAGCCAATCACATTTGTGAAAAAAACCTTGTGGGACTTGCACCGGATAGCTGGCATCTATTTAAACATGTGGACCAACACTATATGGACCGTTGACCATGATGGTCCCACCACTGCAGGGCTTGCCACATGAGCAATGGTCTGGATGATTAGCATGGTCCACACAACCGAAAGACAATGTAATATTTTATTTTTCTTACAAAAGCTAGTTCTTATATAATTTTCATGCTGATTGATTGTGTTAATCACGTCATCCATGGAACAAATCTACGCAAATCTCCTCGCTCAAAGCAGGAGCGCGAAGAAATTGAGAAATAGTAAACGTGGTAAACCATTTTAATTTGTGACCGACCACTTAATCACAAACTAATATACCTTAACTTTGAATTAATTGCTCCAATTATCCGAAGGCACAGTGGCTGAGCGGGTAACAAATGGATAGATACCTGCTAGTTGTAAGGCCGTCCAGGGATGAAACTTCTGTCCCTTGTGGACCCAAATTGGACCGAAATGAAAGAGAAAGTGACCCGATTTGGTCCCTCCATTCACCAATGTTATTCGTGAAAGGAGGTGATTGGAAAGCTGGCACAATTTACACGATAATCATTTTAAAGTATTGTGTTGTTTCTCTAAGTTAATATCACGAATAACCCCAAAGTAGTATATCCGTGATAAATTTATTAAAAACTAATTTTTTGAACATCAAAATCCCAAATTGGTACAAATGTAACAGCTTTACCCCGAACTAATTGTTTGACTATCAAAAATTCCAAACTGATATATTTGTGACAAATTTACCCTCTATTATTTTTCATTTAATTGGATTAATACCACAAAAAATCACAAATCGATACATCTGTGACAAATGGAGGGTAAAACCCTAAAGTGGTATACCGTCAATTGTCACATGTCATCCAACTCAACAATTTGATGGAAACTAATGGAGGATAATTTTGTCACAAGTGTATCAGTTTGGGGTTTTTTATGGTCAAAAAATTAGTTTAGGGTAAATTTACAATATGTGTACCAATTTTGGGTTTTTCGTGGTATTACCGCTTTTCTTTTTGTATAAAATCAATGCTATCAATGACAGTTTAGTTTTCTAGATAAATTAATCTGCGGTCCGAAAATTTACATAGTAAACTATTTTCTGCTTTCTTGTTTAGTTTTTAAATTGGATTTTGATAGGATTTTCCTTCCGTTTGAGTACTCGTAACTTTGGTTCTGGCTTTGGTGAGGGAAACAAGCAACAACTCTATTGCTGATTGATGAAGCAAGATCAAATGATGTCTGGAAAAGAATGGACAAGAATAGGGGCCCGTTTGGTAACGTGCCAAACAGTAAAAATTTCTGTTCTTTTGTTCCCAGAAATAATTTGGGAACAGAAATGCGCTTGGTAAACTTTTTGTTCCCGGGCACATTTTTGCAAAACTTTGTGCCCAGAAACAGTTTTGGAAGAGAAACAAGAAGTAAAAAAAAGTTGCTTCTTGTTTCTCGGCATAATTTTGAGAATCAGTTTTTTTTCTTCTTTTTCTTTTTTTTATTTTCTTCTTTTTGTGTTGCTATTCTTGGGTTGTGGCCGGTCGCCGGCGACCGGCGGCCGGCCACAGCCCAGGGCCGGCGAGGGCGTCACGGCCCTCGCCGGCCGCCGGCGGAGGCGAGGGTCCCCCTTGCGGCGAGGGTGAGTGGCCGACCCTCGCCGGCGGCCGTGGTCACCGTGGGTCGCGACGGTGAGGCTCGGCCTCGCCGGATCCGGGCGAGGCCGACCTCGCCGTCGCAACCCACGGCGAGGCTCGGCCTCGCCCGGATCCGGCGAGGCCGAGCCTCGCCGTCGCGACCCAGGGCGAGGCTTGGCCTCGCCCGATCTGGGTGAGGCCGACCTCGCCATGACCGACGGCGAGCCGCCTCGCCTAGGTGGCGAGGGTCCAGCCCTCGCCCTCGCCGGCAAGGGGGACCCTCGCCTCCGCCGGCGGTCGGCGAGGGCCGTGACGCCCTTGCCGCCCCTGGGCTGTGGCCGGCCATGGCCAAGGAAGAGAATGGGTAGAAAGAAAAAAAAAATTAAACAATTCAAAATATTATTAATAAAAAGAAATTTTGTGTAGTTACCAAAGGCATTTCTGTTCTTTTCTATCCTGGGCATAGAAATTTTGGACAGTTACCAAACGCCTTCAAATGCTTAGAAATTGTTTCCGGGCACAGAATAAAAAAGAATCATTTCTGAGTAGAAATAGTTCCCCGGCATAGAAACATTGTCATGCGCACCCTAGGTGGACCGAGAAAGCAAATGCCATTATTAATAATGATGTCGTATGTGAAATTGCATGCCTTCTTCGTGTTCTTCTTCTTGTCCTTGGCAACCAGCAACCTAAAACCAGAGAGGTTAGAGCATCGTAGAAATTGTCAATTGAGGTGCCCGGGTTTGAGTTCTTTGGTAATAATATCCCATGTGGAAAATATTTTTTTATTGATTCGTGATGAATATTTTATGTGGACAATCCACGTGTAATTTATTGGAATCTACGTCAGTAGATTTCGTTAACTTAAATTTAAAAAATGACAATATTGAACATTTTCTTATAGTTTAGGAACTAGATTAAAAATAGTACAAGTATCACATTGAACAAATTAAAAGTCCAATGACGACATTACACATGGGACCCAAATTCATGGACCATTTATGTTATTTTTCCTATTCTAGATGAGTCATGGTAATCAATGTCTTAAGATACTTCATTCAAAATAATTTAACTTTCAAAGTATTGATTGCTCCACAAATGTCGCACGAGAATTTGTTAAGCAACTGTTAAAAAGTTCTGCGAGTTTTAGTAATCAAATATCAAATCACGCTTTCATTTAACAGTTTAAACTTTTAAAACAGTTAGTAATTGTGCCAAAATTTTTTACATAATATCAGAGTATAAGGTCTTTCCAGGTCCCTTATTGGCCTTGCTATTATATATTCAATGTTTAGTCTTGAGTCAAAATCTAGCCTAAGCATGAGCGGGCCAAAGTCCAGCGTATTCATGAGGAGGTGTTGGAATATTTAAATATTAGTTACGCTTCAACTTTTAGAACAGTTGACTATGGCCCCCATAAAATTTTCCATTTAAAGCATTAATTTTTCTCATATAATGTTTATTTCATTTTTTCACTGCATCCCCACATGAGTCCACGCATCTCATTTATCTTTTCTTTTCTGTCGTGATTCATTAGTCTTATTAGCCTATGTCATTTTTTTAATGAATTCATACCCTTTATCAACAGCTACATTTCGTTCCCATCTTGACATTGAGTAGGGAAAATTGTCAAAAAAGTCCTAAACCTATTGCACTTTTGCCAATTCAGTCCTAAACCTTTTCACTTCTTGCCAATGGAATCCATTTGGCCGGCCGGCGCTAACGTGGCTGCCAACCGTTCGGCCAACGCTGACGTGGCAATTTTTAAATATTTT